TCCAGACTTCCCATTTTACAGATTGGGGAAAACTGAGGCTAAAATGCTTGGAAGTGGCAGAATATAGATATGGATGAGTGTAATTGGCTTCTCTCTAATCCCGGCTTTTGTTTTTGTTTTTTTTTTCTTTTCACTCATTCTACTCCTTTTAGGCTCCACACAGATCAACCAGGTGGTGAGCCACCCTAACCAGCCCCTTACCATCACTGCCCATGATGACAGAGGCATCCGATTTCTGGACAATCGAACAGGTAGGAGCAGATAGCGTGTGTCCCTGTCCCGATTGCTCATTTTCCCAGCCTGACCCTGAGATAGGTATACGGATGGGGAGCTGAGCCATGAACCCTGGGGCGAAGGTCTACAGGGAGCAGACCCATACTTGAACCTGCTGTCTTACCTGGACAGGTAAATCTGTGCATTCCATGGTTGCTCACCTCGATGCCGTGACCTGCTTGGCTGTTGACCCAAATGGGGTGTTCCTGATGTCCGGAAGTAAGTCCCTGCCCCCCAGATCCTCCCTGTCCTAGGGAGCAGGACAGCAGGCTCTATGGGAGCAGTGAAAGCAGCCTGCCCAAGAAAGGGGGGCTCATTTTGGGCATAGAGATAAGGCTTGCTAAGTAGAACAGAGTCAGGGGAGGCGGTGCTGGTGCTGGTGCAGGGCAGAAGGATTTGGTCTAATGGAATTAGGAAAGGCCCTGAGCAAAATTAAAAAGGAAGGAGGCTGGAGCTGGGTCCCAGGAAGGTCAGGAGTGGGGAATGTCAGCAAGGCAGGAGCGACTGTGGGGACTGGATGGCACTGAGGAGGGGGGTCCCTTGCTCCAGCCCCAGCTCTGGCTGTGACTTCCCATAGGCCTTTGCTCTCAGGGCCATTGTTAAATTGTTAAATAGGATTGGGTCCGTTAAGGTCTGGCCGGGGATGAGGCCAGCACTGTGCTTTGGGTCACGGGGAGGCAGAAAGGAGGCTAAAACGCTGGTAAATGGCTCCTTCCCCTCCAGGCCACGACTGCTCCCTCCGCCTCTGGAGCTTGGACAATAAGACGTGCGTGCAGGAGATCACAGCACATCGTAAGAAACATGAGGAAGCCATTCATGCTGTGGCCTGCCATCCCAGCAAGGCGCTCATCGCAAGCGCTGGGGCCGATGCGTTGGCCAAAGTGTTTGTATGACGCCCCGTGTCAAGCCCTGCCACCTCCCCCCTCTTCCCCGAGGAAGGGTGGGGTGGGGCAGGGCCCTCGCAGAGGTGAGTCAGTAGAGCTGCTGTGAGTGGCTTCGCACCCTTTCTATGTGATTTTGGGCAGTGCTACATCCCTGGGCTTCAGGTCCCTGTCAGTACGGGGAGTGGGTGCGTTTAAGATTTCTTTGGTTCTCCCTCTTGCCACTTGCCTGGATCATTGCAATGGATTTGGTATCTTCTTTTGGGAGGCAGTCAGGGTTAAGTGACTTGCCCGAGGTCACACAGCTAGTAAGTGTCAGAGTTTGGATTTGAACTCAGGTCCTCCTTTCTTCAGGGCCAGTGCTCTGTCCACTGTGCCACCTAGCTGGCCCAATTTGGCATCTTTTGGTAAAAACAAACAAAAAAACCCAAAGGTTTCTTTGGTCCTAAAGTGTGCCTGTGTGGCTGGCGGGGAGTGTAGATTACCTGTGAGCTCTGCCCGACCATGTGTCTCCTCTTTTTCAGCCGGTGATTTTCTCTGCTCCACGTCTAGTCTGGGGGAGCGCGATGCCTCCGCTCCCTGAGCCTCATGGTGCTAGCAGCCTGTGGGGCTGGCCCTCTCCTCTGTCACCTTCCCCATTTCTGGGGGTCGAAGAGGGGAGCCATTCTCTCCAGCCAGTAGGGACCTGACGCTTCCCTACCCCTTCAGGAATCTGTTCCTTTTCTCCCCTCTCTACTGGACTCAAGTCCAGTAATAGGGGTGTGATGCTGGGAGGTGCAGCTCCCGCTATCTTGGGACCCTCCGTCTGCCTCATTGTCCCCTCTTGTGAGGCAGTGGAGATGGACCAGAGGAGTCAAGACGGTGCTCTGGGGGGGCACGTGGGAATACTCCCTGGGTCTGTGGACAGTTTGGAGGAAGGAATGGGGGATTTAGACTGAGGGTTGGGGGCACCAGGGTCATATCTTGGGTCACCACAGCTTGCCCCTTGGGCTGCCCAGTCCATTTCTCCAAGGTGTAGAAACACAAAGAGACACACTGCAGACACTAGCTACACTCACACGCACACACACTCACACATTCACACTCACATTCACACTCACACACACATACACATTCACACTCTCACACTCACTCACTCTACAGACACTAGCTCCTCCCCTACCCCAGAAGCATAACTGCCCAGGGGACTATTTTTGCCTAGACAGGGAGGGGGCCGGGAGGGAAGGAGGCCCCCTCGGTGCCAGGGGTTGATGGGGAGGAGAGGGATGGCTCGTTGGCTCTAGGGAGGAACATTGGGGTGGAGGTGTTGAATCCCTTCTTTCCCCCTCTCACCCCTTTTTCACACTGTATATTCTGTATAAATCAATACAATTTTAAATGGAAGCCCAGACATCCCCTCCCCGCTTCTCCCCAGATGCCCTCCTTTGGTTGTTATCACTGTGTGATAGTCTGTTGGTCTGTCCCCTGTCCCTAGTCAGGGTTCCTAAGCTTTTCTTTGTATATTTATTTCACTCTCAATTTCAGCCCTACCCCAATCTTTGGCCCATCCTTGGCCCACTCCTCTTCCTGCCTTCTCCCAATTGTATGTGAAAACCTGCCTCAATAAAACCTTTGGAATAAGACTGGCTGTCGTTTGGAGTTGGGAGTGGGAGCTCTCTGGGATTTTGGGAGGGGAGGGGCCCCCTCTGTGAGGGCTAGGCCTTCAGTGAAAGGGAGAAGGTGGACCTGGAGGGAGGTGTTTGTAACTTGGGGGAGGGTGGGGTGCAGGAAGTGAAGTCAGGGAACCATATCTCCCTTGCCTCCCCTGGCCCTCTGGGACCATTTCTCCTCCCAGAGCTGGGGGAGCAGTCACTTCTCATCAGACTGCCTACCCAGTTCTTGCAGCCAGCATTCTGGCTGCTGTGCTCCAAGGCCTGCTGGAGACTGTTTCTGGCCTGGGGCAGCTGACAGTCTGTAGGGGACAGAGGACCCACGGTTATCTTAGGTGCCATCTAGTCTCTCATTGTCCAGGTAGAAAGCAAATCTAAAGGCGGGGGTAGAATTGGATTTGGATCCTGGCCAGAAATGTGGTATGCTTCGTCGTGTCCCCCAGGGTAGCTGCTACGGGGAGGGTGGAGCCTCTATCTGGGAGAATTTCATGAACAACATGGAGATTTGAGGTCACTTTGGGGTGGGTTGGGGTAGAGCCCTTGGACTTGATTAGGCCTCAGAACCGGACTGGCCATCCACAACCACACTTCCATGGTTGTACACATGGAGCTCATGACGCAACCCCCCCCCCCCCCCAGCGTGGTGGTTTGGGTTTCAGCTTGAAGCCTTAGACTTCCTTCCCTTAGCCCCAGCCCCCGGATGTGGTCTATAAACAGCCACAACTACTGTCTGTGTAGCCAGCCCATCTCAGAGTTCCTAAGGATAAAGGGGGGGGGGGCAGCCTTGTTCCCCCTCAGCCCCTCTCCAGACCTTGTTCCAGCACTTTTTTATGGGAGGTCATTACAGTAATCGGGTCCTTTAGGAAGCCCCGTCAGGGCAGGCTGCAGTGACCCCTTTCTGGGTCCTCGCCTGATGCTTAGTATGGACAGACACCAGAGCTAGAAAGAAGACCCTTTGAAGTGTGACATGTGAGAAAGGGGAGGTCTTCAGAACCTTCAGCTCCGCAGCCGGGAGAGACGTGAAACTGCTTTCATGTCAGACTATGTCACGTCCCAAAGTTGGACTGACTGGCCCTGAGAACAGTGCCGGAGGCACCGAGGGCTGTGCACCCGCGGAGGGGCCCACACCTGGTTCGCTGGGACCCCGGGCCAGGGGCTTTCTGTCTCAGAGGAAGAAAAGACCACTTCTTTTTGGGGGGGAGGGAGAGAAAGATCGAGGGTGCTTTTAATTCAGGTCTGTAGGGTTCGAGAAAGGCCGTACCTTTATTACCATGCTCACCAGTCCTATGAGGTAGGCGCTATAATCCTCATTTTACAGATGAGAAAACTGAGGCACAGAGAGGTTAAGAAGACTTAGGACAGCCATCCATCCCACCTCCTACTCCTTCAGCGTCAATGCCCCCTGACCCCAACCCCCCATCCTCTGAGGACCCTCTCATCCCTTGAGCACCTCCAACCTCCCGGGAAGGCGGGGGGGCACTTTCGCTCTAGCGCTGGGTTCGCTAGGCAAGACTTCCTGGCCTCCCACCGCCTCTTACAAGTTGAGCCGGAGGATCTCGGGGCCCAGGACAATGGCCTGGGGCCCCCCCACCTCTCCAAGCCCCCCGCACTGGGGTTATCCAGGGCCCCACGGGCATCCTCCCCACCATCCCAGGGTAGCCACCTCCAGGGCATCCTGGAGCTTGGAGCCCGGGGGCGCGAGGCCTGGAACCCGGGGCGGGGGGTGTAGCCTGGGCGGGCCAGGGCCCACGCGTGGGGGTTCCGCGCAGCGCTGAGGAAAGTTTGTTTCCGGGACCTGGGCGGGGCGGGGCTGGGGTGTGGGGGAGGAGTCGGCCTGCCCCCCCCCCCCCCCCCCGCTCCACTCTCTGGGCCTAGGGAGAGGGCTTCCCGCGCTTCCCCAGGCCGGCCCGCCCCTGGAGCCCCAGCCGGAGTATTGGGGGCCGCGGGGTCCCCGCCCCCCCAGCTCCTGGGTCCTGCCCCCCCTCCTGCCTCCCTGACGTCACCGTAGGCCGCGCTGATTGGCTGCCCGCGCCGTCGGTCAGGACACTTCCTCCTGGGCCGCCGCTGCAGAGTTACAAAGTTCCCAGCGCGGGGGGCGGGGGCGGGAAAGGAGCCCTGCGACCCCCGCCCGCCCGTGGCGACCGCGACCCCGGCCCGCCGAGCCCGAGCCCGCCCGGTAACCCCCGCGGCCCCCCCCCCCCGACTTCCCCAGGTCCCCCAGGGTCTGATCCTCTCTGCCCGCGTGGGGGCCCCGCGGGGTGTCTGGACCTTTCCGTCCCCGGGTCCCCCGGGTCCCATCCCTCTCCTCCCGAGCCGGCTGATCCTCCAGGCGCGAGGAATCCCGACTCAAGGGTGCACCTCTCTGCCCCAGTCCACGCGACCCCTTCCCACGATCGCGGGTGGATGAGGGCGTGAGGCGGCCGGGCGCCACCCCGTAGCCCCCCCGATGGCCGCCCCCGCCTCCTCCTCCTCCTCTCCCACTGGGCTCCCGCACTCCCCCGGGCCGGGGTCGCCGCCCCCAGCCCACGCGGGACCCGAGCTGTCGCAGCCGCTGCCGCCGCAGCAGCAGCAGACGCCCCTCCTGCTGCTGGCCCCGGGCTCCGGCGGGGTCTCCTTCCACATCCAGATCGGGCTGACCCGCGAGTTCGTGCTGCTGCCCGCCGCCTCAGACCTGGCCCACGTCAAGCAGCTGGCGTGCTCCATCGTGGACCAGAAGGTGTGGGGCTGCAGGCTGGGGAAGGGAGCTCGGACCAGGGAAGGGGGGCGCCCGGGGGTTCCTGGAGCCGAGGGGTGTCACCGCCGACGGCCACCCCACTGAGGACGCCAACCCCGAGCCCCAGAGAGGCCCAGGTCACGCCGGCACGGGGCCGGAGCGGAGCTTGAACCCAGCTCTCCTGACCCCCAGGACAGGGCTCTTTCCTTGGAAGGCGCTGGGGGCCAACATCTGGGTGGGGGCACCCAAGGGCTTCAAACCCGGGTAGGTGGAGAGAGCCCCGGGAAACTTCTGCGTGTCTTCACAAGTTGTTTTCTGGGGGAGGGAGTTGGAGGGTGTACTAGATGGGAAGGGGCCAGGCAAGCCAGGTGTGTGTGGGGGGGGCAGGGAGGATGGGCAGGTGTGAGCCCAGATGTTGAGAGAGGGGGGCTGGGCACTGACAGGCTCTGGTCAAACCCCCCTCCCCCTGCCTGTGGTTTAGTGGAAACTGGAAACCGGAGCTGGGTTCTGGAGGCTTAGGGACATGAGGTCACATGTGTGGGAGTGTGTATATATATATATGTGTGTGGTGTGTGTATGTATATGTGTATGTGTGTGTGTGTGAATGTGTGTGTGTGTGTGTGAATGTGTATATATGTGTGTGTGGTGTGTACATGTATATGGGTATGTGTGTGTGAATATGTGTGTGTGTGTGAATGTGTGTAGAGGTGTGTGTGTGTGAATGTGTATATATGTGTGTGTGGCGTGTGCATGTATATGTGTATGTGTGTGTGAATATGTGGGGTGTGTGTGTGAGTGTATATATGTGTGTGTGGTATGTGCATGTATATGTGTATGTGTGTGTGAATGTGTGGGGGGTGTGTGTGTGTTCGTGCGTGTGCATGTGCCTGAGTGTGCCTGGGGAGAGGTCTCCTTTTCTCCCTTTGGTTCTGTCCTCTCTCCCTGCCAGCTGAACTCTGCCTCCCCTTTGAAACACCTATTCCCTCACTCAGATTACTGCCCCAGGAGGCAGAGAATATGGGGAGGGGGAGCCTCCATGAAATGGGAGAAAGAGCCAGGGAAGTGAGAGGGGGGAAGGGGCCCAACCCTGGGGAGTGTGCCAGGCCTTCAGGAGAATGCTTGGAGATCCAGGGACATCCTGACTTTGATGTCATAGAATGTTAGACCCAGATAATATCTGAGCTGGTAATGACCTTAGAACATGAAATGTCCTCTATGGAAGTGCCCTTAGGACAGGAAATATCAAGAACTGGGGATGGGGCTGGGGCTTAGAACATGGAATGTCAGACCTGGGAGGGCCCTTAGAACATGGAGTGTCAGGGCTGGGAGAGACCTTAGAACAGGGAATGTCAGGGCTGGGAGGACCCTTAGAACAGAGAATGTCAGGGCTGGGAGAGACCTTAGCATAGGCAATGTCAGACCTGGGAGGGCCCTTAGAACAGGGAATGTCAGAGTTCAGAGGGACCTTAGAACAGGGAATGTCAGGGCTGGGACAGACCTTAGAACAGGGAATGTCAGAGCTCAGAGGGACCTTAGAACAGGGAATGTCAGGTCTGGGAGGCAGACACCTTAGAGACAACTGAACCCACCCCATCCCCTGACTAAAGAGAAGGAAAAGGAAGCTAAGGCCCAGAGAAGAGGAGACTTACCTGAGCCCATAGTCAGTTGGTAAGACTGGAGCCTAGGTCTGCCAGATCTGAGGGGGCAAGGAGGACACAGGACAGCCGCCCCTCATCCCTTACCCTCTGGGCCAGGCCCTAGCTCTCCTCCCAGTTGAGGCATGGTTACACCTTCTCCTCTATCCTCTACCTGCTTTGGTTTCATTTTCTGTTTCTAGGCTGGTTTCACTTCCTGACTCCCCCCTCCCCACCGAACTGATCGAGAAATGTGCCTGTGGGTTGTGGGTGGAGGTCGATTAGGGACAGTGATGGGTGCAGGAGGCCTTTGGGCTCTGGGTGGAGGTCGGGGACACTTACTCCAGCCCCACCTTTTACCTCGGAGCGCAGAGCCCCGCCCCTCCTGGGCCCTGCTTCACACACTCCAATCTGGAAGAGAGAAGACCCAGGCTTTGGGTCCTAGATTCCTTCCTCGGACACTATGGCAGCCACCGCCCCCCTTTAGCTCCTCCAAGGCTGGGCTTCAGGCCAGGTGTTTGGAGAACAATAGGATCCGGAAGGAAACTGGGGGTGGGGGACAGGGGTCTAGGGTTGGGATCACCAGGCCTTCCTGCACAGCCCAAGAACTTAGGGCAGATCCCAGGTGTCCAGGGCTCCCCTCCCCTCTGCTCTTTGCACTGACCCCACCCATTCCAGGTTCTCATCCCAGAACACCTGGGTGTGTGTGTGTGTGTGTGTGTGTGTGTGTGTGTGTGTGTGTGTGTG